CAGTACATGACCATAATGGGGTTGCAAGGAAAGGGCAAAAAGTCCAAGGACTCTGGCAAGAAAATTAATCCTGCTGTTTTGTCCAGGTTGCATTTGGGATTGATTTCAGTACAGAGTACTTAAGTGGTCTCTTTTATAGCCCAAAGTGCCATGATTGATAAGTTGCTATTAGACCAAGACATCAAGAAATCTTGACCACATTGCTTTCAGCGTTTGAGTCAAAAACATACTCATTCTTGGAGGACTTCATGAAGCAAATGAACTTGACACTAAACAAAAGCAACTGAAATTGGCTAGAAATGGGAATAGTATTCTGACTCTTCAAAGGCCTGAGGCAGTAAACCCCTGGCTGAATGTGATGAAAGTGGGCCATAAGTAGAGAAGGGAGGGAAATTGGGACATACACATTTCCCTTGGTTTTCTCTAAGGAGACATTTGGCCTTGGCATTTAGAAAGATCTTTATCTGAATTTTGAGCAAGTTGTTTTCCCCTGGGATCCTGGGGTCTCCTAAGGTAGTAAGTGGATCACTGATACTGAAATTCTGTGAGATACCTTGTTCTAATTTTCCCTTCTGAGATCTTGCAATAGATATGGTTATAGTCTTCCCCACCCCCCTACCACCTCTTCTAAATCAAAGAAAGATTAATATATGGGGACTTTGGCCTCAGCTTAGGAACTAAACTTAAAAAAGGGTGTCATGCCTGTAATCCCAGCACTTTGGGAGGCCAAGGTGGACAGATTATGAGGTCAGGAGTTGGAGACCAGCCTGACCAACATGGTGAAACCGCATCTCTACCAAAAATACAAAAAAATTAGCTGAGTGTGGTGGCATGCGCCTGTAATCCTAGCTATTCAGGAGGCTGAGGCAGGAGAATTGCTTGAACCCAGGAGGTGGAGGTTGCAGAGAGCCAAGATTGTGCCACTGCACTGGCCACGCGGGCAAACAGAGCCAGTCAATCCGCAAAAAAAAAAAAAAAAAAAAAAAAGTCAGCACATTTGGCTAAGCCTACCAAAGCAGATAGCCCAGAGAAATGACCTATTGGTTTATACAGAATTTTATAACAAATGGAAGCTCAGGAATGAGTCAGATCCTTTTTCCTGGGTATGTGGTATTTATTTATTGGTACCATTATTTGCGATTCGGTCAGGACAGTTCAACAACCAAGGGGGTGGGGTTTGATCCTTACCTGGCCCTTACCCACAGTCTTAAGAGATGACCCTGAAGGAGATTATTGGTGGGTTATATAGTTCTTGGATTAAAATATGCCCTTCCTAACTCCTTCCAATTTGATCCTACTATCGACCGCACAGTCTCGGTTAGATGACAGAGGAAAGGAGACCCTAGACTCTTTCTGATATGTGGCATTTTGACTTTAGCTATTTCAGATTAAAGGAGAAGCTATCTGGCTTATACCAGATTTCTAGGAATGATCGCAAAAAATTATTGGTATGTAAATCTGTCAGTAGCAGTTGTAGTTCATTCAAACATCGCTTCTCAACCTGCGGCTGGGAACCAGGAAAGAAACTATGAAAAACCTCTCTGAACAGCCATTTATTGGCTAGATTGTAACACAGTCTTGGGGTTACCTTAAACAAATGGCCACCTATAATATCCTGCCTGTACCTTGTTCACCATCAGTCTCTGGTCTTATTGACTTTCCTCCTTTTTTTTCTTAGATTTCTCAAGCGTAGCAGCGTGGCGGAAAGAAGGAACAAAAGAGCCTTGTGTTAAAATTGGCTACTAAAGAAAGAGAAATCAGGGCTGGGCGCGTGGCTCACGCCTGTACATCCCAGCAGCTTTGGGAGGCACGGACGGGTGGATCACGAGTCATGGAGTGTCAAGGGCTAGGCCTGGCCAAGATGGTGAACCCCGTCTCTACTGAAGAATAACCAAAAAGATAGCCAGGATGGTGGTGGCACGCTTGTAAGTCCTGCTACTCAGGGAGGCTGAGGCAGAGAATTGCTTGAACGCTGGGAAGTGGCACGGTTGCAGTGAGCCCTGATCGAGCCACTGCACTCCAGCCCTGGGCAAAGCAAGGCAATGACTCCATCATCAAAAAAAAAAAAAAAAAGAGGTCATATTGCCTGAAAGCTGCCAAAATAGAAACATTTTTTTCCATTTGGTCTGAATTTTCAGACATTGTAGCCCTTCAACTATTCTTTAGATCTGAAATTACTTTGTGTTCCAAGTCAGAAGATTGTTTTGGTGATGCAGGCTTTAGTGTATGATAGCCTGATTCTTTATGAGAACCTTCATCTGTCCTCATTTTGCATACTTACTCAATAAAAATTGCTCTCTTTTCAAACACTATTTCATTCAGCAAGTATTTTTATACACCTGGTGGACTTTGGACCATTGCACAGGTTCTAGTAGCAAAGAGTAAGTAACGACAGATCCAGTTTCTACTCTCATCCGTCTGTATCAAGGTCAGTGACGTGACTGAAATGGCTATGGTAATGCATAGAAGCTTAGTGCTTGGGATACCATTGAATCACAGGGTGCCCCTTCTTTTAATTTAGGGACCTTCAGAAGAAAACCACCTATCTACATAACCTGGCCCAGAAACGATTTAGTAACTCTAAAATCCTTCGGAATGTAATGCTTCTGACTCCATTCCTGTTCAACTTTTCCATCTTCCAAAGGCAGCTGATATGGTGAAACACATCTAGGCACTGTAGCCAGACTTTGGTTGAATCTCGGCTCTGCCATTTTCTGGCTTTGTGACTTGGGAGAAGTCACTTAATCCCCTGCATCCCCCCCCTTTTTTTTTTGAGACAGAGTCTTGCTCTGTCGCCTGGGCTGGAGTACAGTGGCTGGATTCAGGTCACTGCAGCTCTGCGTCCCGGGTTTACGCCATTCTCTTGCTCAGCCTCCCGAGTAGCTGGGACGTACAGGCACCCGCCACTCGCCCAGCTAGTTTTTTTCGTCTTCTCTCGTAGAGACAGGTGTGTTCACGCGTGTTAGCCAGGAGGGTGATCTCCCCTGACCTCATGATCCGCCCGTCTCGGCCTCCCAAAGTGCTGGGATTACAGGCTTGAGCCACCGTGCCCGGCCCATCCCCCCTTTTTATGAGGCAGTAGGATTAAACAAGAGACTGTTGATAGATTTAAATCAAAGTTTCTTTGCTAACCACCCTAGTGGGAGTAGAGGTAGAAGTAGGATGTTAAAAAAGTAAAATTCAGAGGAAACCCATGAGCAGAAACGCTACTTGTCATAATTAACCTTATCTAGAAGAAATAGACCCAAAGGAACTTTTGGGGGATGGTAGGATCTCTGTCAAGACAACTATTTTGGGGTTCTTTAGATTCCTATTTATCCCTCTTCCCTAATTCTCTCTAGTTTGTTTTCATTTTGACTAGGCCCAGCTTCCCTTTCATCGCACCTTAGGAACCCAGTGCACTCAGACTGCCTAGAGGTTCCCACAATGGCAGTGTACGTCAGTGCCTAACTTTTCCTCATCCTCTTTCTCCATGAAAAATACGCTAATCCTGTGTCCTAGTCCCTTTCTTTTTTTATGGTTTATTAGCAAACTTGATGTTGGGCTGAGATATGAATATGATAAGTATATTTTCCATTCTGGACAATTCAAATATTATTAATGTCAAATATGGAGAAAAGTTTTGTCACCCACCAAATAGATTGAGCACCTAAAGCTGGCTGAGTGAGCAGATGGGTGCAGTCTGGAACCTTTTGCTGTCATAAAAAAGATACATACATGGCAATAAGGTGGTATCTCTTCCATGAGAAAAAGGAGAGTTGTGTTAGGGGACCAAAAGCAGAAAGTACCCCTAGAGCCATATTATTTTTGGGGAAGGGATATTGTTGTAGTCTTTTTCCCTCTAAACACAGACATTGAGAAATATTTGGAATGAGTATTTGTATAAGGTGGAGTTGGGAGTGGAGGGAGGCACTTGGAGCACAGACTGTCTAATGATACTTTGTGGCCTAGTGGAGCCATGCTCCTGGTAGGGACTAAGAGGTGATTTCTTGAGTAGATGAGTGAACACTCATTTGTTTGTGTCTGGATGCATCACATTTTGCCAGTTAGCCAAGGGCACATGTTTTTCTGTGTGTACTGAGTTGTCTCATTGCTCAGAAGGAACTTGATCAGAATTTATGTGCATGTGTTCTGGATGGGTATGATATCATTATCAGTGCAGTGGAACCTTTGAATTTATCCCAAGTTCATAAATGATAACATGTTTATCTGTGTTATAAGTTCCAGGCCTCTGGCACTTTACTCATTCACTGAAGAAGGAAGCCTACAGGATGGTCCTTAAAATGCAGCTTCTATCGATGTCCTCTTGACTTTAATCTATACATGGTATCTTTAAGGTCCACTCTCTAATTCTAATTTTCAGCACTTGGACCCTGCTTATTATGAAAGTGATCCAAATCTTCTTTCTTTCTGTATCCTTAGTTCTCCCTGCTATTGGCGGGGTGGGGGGGAAATATTCTCTCTATTATTTCCCCCAGTGGTTTTGGTTTTTATGGGGTTTTTTGTTTTGTTTTGTTTTGTTTGCTGTCTTCATCATAGAAACTGAGGGCAAATGGATTAGCGATTTTTTTGTACGTTTAAGTCATTATATGCTTCTGGTTCTGCATGTCCCTGGTTCAGCTGCCTACCTGTTCCCAAGCAGTTCAGTCTCGTTTTGCTCATGATTGGCCTTTTCTAAGGTAGCACTTGGATTCTATCTTGGGGATCAAAAATTTGAGAAGTGTTTTAAGTGGCTTTGGTTTCATTGACAATGGAATTGTGGTGGGTGGGTGTGGGCAATGCTTAAAGGCTAAATAAAGGCTCTTCATAAGAGCACATATGCTGAGAGGTGTTTCATCTTCTCTCTTTCCATAGCAACTTATCTGTAAGATTAAGCATTCTGCTGGTGGTATAATAAAAAAATCTTAGCTCCCATTCAGAGCTGTTTATCTGCTGTTACTGGAACCTATTTACTTTCATTCATTTCATCATCTGATTTTTGTTTCCTTCTGTTTTCCCAGGTGGCATTGGTAGGGTGGTCAACGGAGCCTTCATGGTGCTGAAAGGGCATCGATCTATTGTTAACCAAGTCCGATTTAATCCCCACACCTACATGATCTGTTCTTCTGGTGTAGAAAAGATTATCAAGGTGAGGCACCTTCCCCTTCTGTCCTTTTAGAGAAATTCTCGCAATTTATAATTAGAAGAAACTAGAACAATATATGTAGGACCTCATATCTAAACATACTAAAGGTCTATCAGAATTCTCAGATTTTGACATATTACAAAATATTAGAAAGCTGATATTAAAAAAGTGATGCCAGGCATACTGACAGTACCTGTAGTCCCAGCTACTTGGGAGGCTAAGGCAGGAGGATCACTTCAACCTAAGAGTTTGAGGCCAGCCTGGGAAGCATAGCAAGACACCATCTTAAAAAATAAAAAATAAAATAAAAAATAAAAAACGAAGAAGAAAGAAAGAAAGGTGATTTAAAATGCTCTTTTCAGAACCATTTAGTTTTTCATTTTAAAAAGTTTTTTTAGAGACAGGGTGTTGCTATGTTGCCCAGGCTGGACTTAAACTTCTGGGCTCAACCAGTCCTTCTGCCTGAGCCCCCCAAAGTAGCTGGAACTACAGGCATACACCACTGTACCTGGCTTGGAACCATTTTTTTTTTAAAACTAATCACTAGGCTTTGAAACAGACATTGTCTTCTAGACACTACCTTGTATGCTGCAACATTTTCAAAGGCGTTTGGCCTTGAGTATAATGAATTCTGTTTTCCAGACCTCATCTGGAGGTTAGGAGAGCCACTCTCCCCTCAGTTACTTTGTATGTACTTTGCATTAATTGCCGTCCTAATATGGCATGGATAAAACTAATGATTGCCAGAATCATAATTAAATTGTCTCAGAAGATATCAAAAAAAGTACTGCATGTGGTTGTAATTGAGGCTACTTGGGTCTGAATACTGAATACTTGCATCATTTGCACATTGGCTGAATGAACTCACCTCTGCTAAGAAATGTTTTTATAGCTGCAAAAGTGGGTCCTAGCCTGGCCTGTGTCCACAGAAGGATGACCCACTGCCCATCACTTGTATTCAAGTTGCTAGTACCATTTTTTCCACATCTGAGAAAATGAGAATTCAGGGTAAATGATTAATTCTGGAGGTCCCTGAGATAATGACTTTTAAGTAAGGATAGGTGATGTTCCTGCCAAAAGCTAAAACACTTCGATTTTGGCTGGGTGTAGTGCATCACACCTGTAATCCCAGTACTTTGGGAGGCTGAGGCAGGAGGATCACTTGAGCCCAGGAGTTTGAGACCAGCCTGGGCAATATAGTAGGACCCAGTCTCTACAAAAAATTTAAAAATTAGTGTATACCTGTAGTCTTAGCTACTCGGGAGGCTGAGGCTAAGGGATTGCTTGAACCTAGGAGGTCGTGCTATAGTGAACCATATTCCCACCACTGCACTCCAGCCTAGGCAACAGAGTGAGACCCTATTTCAAAAAAAAAAAAAATTCCTCAATTTTTTTATTAAAATGACTTTGAAAACCTGAGAGTTTTCAGAGAAAAACGTAAAAATTGACTTGTGATTATTTTATTTCATAATTTTCATTTTCTTTTGTTCTTAAAAAATAACTGTCCAGAGCTAAATCAAGTTGTACTTGATGGCAGGGGGCAGCTGTCAGAAATAAATTATTGAGGCCAGGTGTGGTGGCTCATGCCTGTAATCCCAACACTTTGGGAGGCCAAGGCAAGTGGATCACCTGAGGCCAGGAGTTCGAGACCAGCCTGGCCCAAACAGTGAACCCCTGTCTCTACTAAAAATAACAAAAATTAGTCAGGTGTGGTGGTGTGTGCCTGTAGTCTCAGGTACTCAGGAGGCTGAGGCAGGAGGATTGCTTGAACCCAGGAGGCAGAGGTTGTAGTGAGCCAAGATTGTGCCACTGCACTCCAGCCTGGGCAACAGAGCAAGAGTCCATCGCAAAAAAAAAAAAAAAAAAAAAAGTCAGCACATTTGGCTAAGCCTACCAAAGCAGATAGCCCAGAGAAATGACTATTGGTTTATACAGAATTTTATAAACAAATGGAAGCTCAGGAATGAGTCAGATCCTTTTTCCTGGGTATGTGGTATTTTATTTATTGGTACCCATTATTAGCGATTCGGTCAGGACAGTTCAACAACCAAGGGGGTGAGGTTGATCCTTACCTGGGCCCTTACCCACAGTCTTAAGAGATGACCCTGAAGGGAGATTATGTGGGTTATATAGTTCTTGGATTAAAATATGCCCTTCCTAACTCCTTCCAATTTGATCCTACTATCGACCAGCACAGTCTGGTTAGATGACAGAGGAAAGGAGACCCTAGACTCTTTCTGATATTGGCATTTTGACTTTAGCTATTTCAGATTAAAGGAGAAGCTATCTGGCTTATACAGATTTCTAGGATGAATCGCAAAAAATTATTGTATGTAAACTGTTCAGTAGCAGTTGTATTCAATCATCTCAAACCTGGGAACCAGGAAAGAAACTATGAAAACCTTCCTGAAGTCCTAAATTAAAGAAGGGCACTGTATTCAATGGTATCCCAAGCACAGCTCTATAGCATTACCATAAGCCATTCAGATCACGTCACTGACCTGAGTAACGATGAGAGTAGAAACTGGATCTGTCTTACTTATCTTGCGTACCTAGAACCTGCAATGTCCAAAGTCACCAGGTTGTATAAATACTTGCTGAATGAATAGTGTTTGAAAGAGAGCAATTTTAAGAAGTAATGTCCAAAAGAGGACACGATGGAAGTCTCATAAAGAATCAGCTATCATAGAACTAAAGTGCATCAACCAAAACAATCTTTCTGACTTGGGAACACAAAGTAACTTTCAGATCTAAAGGAAATAGTTGAAGGGTATCAATGTCTGAAAATTCAGACCATGGAAAAACTGTTTCTATTGCACTTTCAGGCAATATGACCTCTTTTTTTTTTTTTTTGAGATGGAGTCTTGCTCTGTTGCCCAGGCTGGAGTGCAGTGGCTCGATCAGGGCTCACTGCCACCTCCACCTCCCAGGTTCAAGCAATTCTCTGCCCTCAGCCTCCTGAGTAGCAGGGATTACAGGTGCCACACACCATCGCCTGGCTAATTTTTGTATTTTCAGTAGAGACGGGGTTTCACATCTTGGCCAGGCTGGCCTTGAACTCCTGACCTCGTGATCCACCCGCCCTCGGCCTCCCAAAGTGCTGGGATTACAGGCGTGAGCCACGCGCCCCAGCCCTGATTTCTCTTCTTGGTAGCAATTTTAACACAAGGTCTTTTTTTTCCTTCTTTCCACCCCGCTGCTACCTAGGAAATCTGAAAAAAAAGAGGAAATCATAAACCCAGAGACTGATGGTGAAAACAGGTACAGGCAGAATTATAGTGGCCATTTGTTTAAGGTAACCAAGACTGTGTACAATCATAGCATAAATGGCTTCAGAGAGGGATA